CCCAACATTCCCTCCTCTGGCGCAAGGTCCCCGACACCCGAAGGGTTTGGACGGAGCCTTGGACGCAGAAGCAGGAAAAAAGTCTGCAGGTAACCAGTCAACAGAGGGGATCCTGAAAGAGCTGCAAGGAGGTGATAAATCAGAACCCAGCGTGGAACCCAAACAGAATGTTGTTACGGAGGTGACTGGCCGAAATGAGGAGATTGCAAAGTTCCCACTCAAACCAACGATAGTTTCAGGCAAGCAAGGCATACTGAAAGGGGGGACAGAGGGTATTAAGGGAAACCCCTCCGGATTGTCAGTCCAACCTGTAAATGCTGCAGGTCGGCAGTCCCCTGACAGCACCCATATGCTGCAGGGGGAGGACGGCCTTAGAGCTGACCAAGACTGCAGCTCACCGCGCGGCATTGAAAATTTTGATTACGAGGGAAAGACGGTTTGGAAGGACCTACCGGAGCCCCTGCCGCAAAGTCCCCGACATTCGAAGGGTTGGGATGAAGCTTTAAGCGCAGACGTAGGAACGGTCTTTGCAGGTAACCAGTCAACAGACGGGATCCTGAAAGGTCTGCAAGGGGGCGATAAATCAGAACCCAGTGTAGATCCTAAACAGACTGTTTTTACGAAGCTGTCTGGCCGAAAGGAGGGGTTTGCAAAGCCCCCTCTCAAACCATTGATATTTTCAGGTAAGCAATGTATACCGAAAATGGGGACCGAGGGTACTAAGGGAAACTCTTCCGGAACAGCACTCCAACCTGAAGGGGCCGTAGGTCTGCAGTCCCCTGACAGCTCTTATGAGCTGCAGAGGGAGGACGGCCTTAGAGCTGACCAAGACTGCAGTTCACCGCGTGGCCTTGAAAACTCCGACTACGAAGAAAAGATACCGGAGGAAATTCTTGATTTCGCGGTGGCAGGCTTATTCGCGGAAGGGGATATACAGTTCGATCCCCACAAAGATCAGGAAAATGTTGTAATGTGCACACCCAGCAAAAAGGCCAAGTTGGACAAGGACTCAACGTGGCCAACCTTGCAGGAACAGTATTTGGGGGAACCTGCGGGGTCAGTGCTGATAGACAAGGCCTCTTCAAAGAAGAGAGGTCATATGACCAGGTCATCTAAAAAAGTGTTATCATTGGCAAGCCTGATGGCAACGCTGTCCAAGTCTGATCGAACAAAAGGGAAAATACAAGAATTTCTAACTCCTATAATTTGTTCAAATTCTCCACTGGGGATGATGGTCCTAACAAAGCGCGAAAAAGACGACTCATTGGCCTTACCTGCGATTGAAGTTTTTGCAGCTCCTCTGGCAGATACAATGGTACAACTAGTAAATGAACAAGTGCTGCATTTCTTGGGTTCCAGTGTAGTTTTACCGGAACCAAAGATGGGTAGACATATAGTGGGCCTGCCAGACGGTCGAAAAATCATCCTCCACATCTCCTTCTTTACGATCCAGGCCATTTCAGCCTCCTTCGCCAACTGGAGTGCCTCAGGGCTTTATTGGTTGCTCTTAAATGAGCTGACGCAGGGGAGGAGGGAATCCTGCTCTCCTATCAGGCTTCCTGTAGGCCTCAAGGCATTGGATGTTGCAGACTGGCTGAACAAGGCTGAGGTGGGTGAATTCCTGTCCTCTGAGCAGTTCCTGAACCAAGTGGCAGGGGGGGGTTTCCCTCTACGACCACTGGGTATGGAACCGGTGGAACCGGAGGAGAAATATATTCCGGTTCAAAGGGCCCGCATCCAACATGGCGGCGTGGACCACTTAGATGGTTCTGCCGAATAAAGTACGCCTTTTGACTTGGAATATAAAAGGTCTAGGCGATACTTCGAATAGAGAAAAGAGGTCGAGACTTCGACACTGGTTTTACTCAAAGAATGTTCAGATAATTGGTCTGCAGGAGACAAAACTAGATGCAGAGAAGATACGGGAAATACAGGGGTGGTGGGATGGTTCTCAATTTTGGGCCCCGATAGATGGTACAAGGGGGGGAGTTGCCTTACTATTTCAGAAAGAGTTGGACTGCATGATTATAGATCATTATATTGATCCTGAGGGAAGATGGGTTTGGGCTAAGATAGAAATGGAGGATGAGATATGGGCAGTTATGTCGGTATACGTCCCAGCTACCTACACGGAAAGGGTGTCCTTCTTGGCCAACCTCCCAGCCTGCATACCAGATGTGGAGAACCTTGCCATTTTGGGGGACTGGAATACAACGCTGAATCCAGGTCTGGACTCCCCTTCTCATCTGCTCTGCGATCGGACAACACCCTTTTAATGTCCTTTTTGGACTCCCAGTCTTTGACAGATGCGTACAGGGTGATGAACCCGGACGACCACGGCTACACATGGTACGGACCAAGACCATCGAAGACTGCTCCCCAACCACGTCGCAGACTATATCTGATAGCTATAAGGGGAGATTTGTGGGACAGATGCGTTTTTGTTGATTTTTTCGTTTTTGATATTTCGGACCACTACCCGGTAGCGGCAGATATAGTGGCTAAAGACCTGGTTCAAAAAGCAAGACCACCGTTCAGATTGAACGTGTCCAATCTAAAGAACAAGGGTATCACAGATTGGGTGACTTCTCAGATGTCAGAATGGACGGCTGCACAGGTTCTTTTTGATTCAGAGGACCAGTGGGCAGAGGTGGGCTTAGGTATTGTAAGAGAAGCCTTGATTGTTTTTTCACGAATGAAAGCAGCAAAAAGAAGCTGGGAGGAAATGAAATGTCTAAAAGAGATCGAACAGGCAGAATCGTTAATGAGTCAGGATCCCTTCGAGGAGTTCTTTTGGGCAGAAAAAAGAAAGCAAGCATTGTGTCAGATGGAATCCTTGAACCTGCAAAAGCAAACAAAATGGTTGGAATGGCTGAAACTGAGGGGGGTGGTTGGATACGATAGGATGACAAAGCTGACTTTTCGATCGCTGATCTTGAAGCAATCCAGACCGCTCATCAGAGAATTAATCCACCCCTTTCAGATTGATGCGGCCGCTACATCGGACACCATTAACATGTGCTCTTATGCATTGGAGTACTTTAGGGACATTGTGACAACGAGACGCCCGTTCGACACCTTTCAGTCAGATCTTTCTTTGGATTCAAACTTTTGGAACAACTCCAAAGTGGCAATCAATGCCAGCACGAGAACATTGTTGGAAGCCCCCCTAACAGTGGATGAACTTCACAAGGCCACCAAACAGATGGCTTTGGGCAAATGCTCGGGACTCGATGGTATGCCAGTGGAACTATTCCTCAGCTGCTGGGAGGGCTTTGGCCCGTTCCTGTGTCAGATCTATAATGGGGCCTTGGAAAAAGGTTCTCTTCCATCTAAATTGACTAAAGGGGTTACAAGGAGGGAGATAAGAGGGATGTAAGAAACTATCGCCCTATTTCGATCTTGAATGTTGCTTATAAAATATTAGCGAAAGCTCTTACTATTAGATTGGCCACGGTGCTGCCGAACCTGGTGGGTTGGGAGCAAGGGGCATTCGGCAAGGGAAGGTCCATCTTTGAGAATATTATGTCCACGGTCAAGGCCCTGGAGGCTGGAGGTAATAGGGTCAGAGAAAAGGGAAGTCGTAGTGCTACTTCTAGATATGGAAAAAGCCTACGATCAAGTGGGGTGGGCGTTCGTATCTACTACCCTGACAAACTTGGGCTTTGGTAGCGGCTTCCTGAATTGGATCCATGCGATGTATGGTCAAGCCACGCCAATGGTTTCTGTAAACGGTCACCTTTCTGATGAATTCCCCCTCACCCGGTCACTTAGGCAAGGCTGCCCGTTGGCCCCGTTGCTGTTTGTCCTCCAATTGGAGGTTCTGTTGGATAACATTAGATATAACCCAAGAATAGTAGGCTTACAACTAAGCCCAACCCTCCAATGGAAAGGGGGGGCTCTGGCGGATGACCTAATGGTGACCTGCGAGAACTCAACTTCGTCATTGGATGAGTTAAAGTTGGTTATCGATACATATTGCGATCTTTCCGAGACTTCCATAAACTGGACTAAATCAGTGTATCTTTTACCTTCACAATTCACTCTTAAGGTAGAATGGGGGCTTAAGAAAGTCCCAACTCAGAACTCTGAGAGGTTTCTGGGAGTTCAGATTTCGTTATCAGATTGTTCAAGGGCGCAAGACCAGATTCTTTTAGACAAAACCTCGGCGAGAATTAATGGTTGGCAGAGGCACTACAGACTCTCCATATTCGGGAGGGCGTTGGTACTTTCGGCGGCGGCATTCTCCGTTTTGTGGTTCCCATTGTCAATATGCCTGTTGGGAAAAGAGGCGTATTCAGAAATTAAGAGAGTAGCAACACGGTTCTTGTGGAAGCCAGGGTTGGAAGAGGACCAAGGGTTTCTATCCAAGGTTGCATGGGAAACAATCTGTTTCCCTCGAAATGAGGGAGGTTTGGGAATTTTGGACCCACAAGTTCAGAATGTGGCTTTCTTAGCCAAGTGGGTCTTCAAAGCTTTGTTTGAGGATCCCTCCAAGTTGTGGGTTCAGATTGCGGAATAGATACTAGTCAAGGAATGGGAGTTGAGAAATGGGTGTGATGTATGGCAATGTGTATTAATTCCTTCTTACCTGAATAGAAGACTTAAATCCAGAACATGGCGGGGGAATCCTGCGAGTGTGGAAGACACTGCTGCCGGAGGTGATACGCCCGCCAGAAACAAAGAAGGAGATTGAAGCACAATGTGTGTTCGAGAACCCCCTCATATGCTCTGCAGATAACTCAGCCTTTCCAACAACGGAAGGGTTGGGTAACTTTGGTAAGACATGGATAGAGAATGGTGTATTTCTCATCAGACATTTGTGGGACGACGAAAATGAGACTTGGCTCACGGAGGACCAGCTACGTTAGAAACTTCCCCGTTGTCGATCGGTGTCACACAACAGGGCTAGATTACTTGCAGCGATCCCCCACCAGTGGCCTAAGTTGCTGCGCAGGGAGGCATAACACGCAGCGGGTACGTGGTTGCGGGCACAGGATGAGGAATCGAGAATCTAGAAAATACAAGGTCCTGACTTGGGGGGGGGGTGGAGGGTGGAGGAATGGAGGGAGGGTCCAAGATCAGGAAAAGGGATTAAGTTGATTAGACTGGAAGATAAAACTGTGAGGATGGAGGAAGGGGTCAGGGGACTCAGAAGATTGGACTCCACTGTGTCACTTCAGCCCGAAGGTAGGCAGAGAGGCCATTCGTCGGAAGGTGGAATCCACTCCGGAGGACAAGGCTAAGAGGAGATTCAATCAATTGAAGGGATCTCTGGCCCAAGCTCCAAATTGGTCTGCCATGTGGAAAGCCTTAAAAAGAATTCCCTCTCAGAGAAATGCAAGTTTAATGTGGACTCAGAGCTTACAGGTAATCCCTACGACTCTCTGGCTATCATCTAGAGGGATGGATATCTCTGTTGAATGCATTAGATGTAAGTGGGGGTGGGAATCTAACTCCCACTTATGGATCTAGTACCCATTGGCGGACGCCACCTGGCAGTGGTGGACAATACTTTGGAACGAGGTAACACAAGGAAGCTTTCCTTGGTCTGACGACTGGATATTGTACGGCACACTCCCGGCCCCGACATTCAACTATGTGGAGGGTTGGGGTTATGTAGCGTTGGTCTGCAGGGGGGTGGTCATGCAATAAATTTGGAGGGCAAGGAATCCGGTAACATTTGACAGGGAGGAAATCAACCTGCATCAACAAAAGCAACAGATTAAAGCTGATCTAAGACTGCACATGAAAGCGGATTGGAAACGCTGTTCGGGTCGCAATGGAAAAGGTCGATGTTGGTTTCTAAAAACCTGGGCAAAGGATGCTAGACTGGCAGAAGTCTCTAGAGAAGGCAGGCTGGTGGTATCTCCCTGGCTTAAACCTCCCTGAGTAATTCTGCGAAGGGTTAGCCGCGATAGGCGCCCGTGATGCAGACGAAGGGAAGGGTACACACGGAAGTCCAGGATGTCTGTGGAATAGAACAGATCTTAATCTGCCAGAGTAGCTAACAGCGGGGCAAGCTGACCTACAGGACATGGCCTGAAGATGCGCTTCAGAGGTGGTTTATCAGAATAAACAGGATTGGCTAAATGGATTAGTATAGGCCGAAGGATGGGAATTGACATAGCGTTCTCCTCGGTCACCCTTTTTCTGAGCTTCAAGGTTGGAGTTTTGAGAAGTAGTAATTTTTATGAGATTGGAGAGGCTTTGGGACGCTGGACCCGGTTTCCTGCATGGTGACTTGTTTCTTCCGGGTTGAATTGTGAGGTCCCCGGCCTCGTCCACTGTTTTTGTGAAATAAAGCAACAACTTCTCAAAAAAAAAAAAAAAAAAAAAAAAAAAAAAAAAAAACTACCGGTAGATCCCAACAAACGAGGGCCGGTATCAGTATCTCAGACTGTTTCCTGGGAGTTCAAATTGAGTCGGTGAATCTCCGACTTTGTCACAGCCCCTCGTTTGGTGTCCTCTTCTCGATTTTGTCACAGCCCCTCGTTCGCTGTCGTCTTCTCGACTTTGTCACAGCCCCCGTTTGCTGTCCTCTTCTCCCTCTTAGGGCCTCGCCACACCAATGTCGAAAACTGATTTTTCGACATTTTCTCCTTGCCACACAGCATGTCGAAATCCGAGATGCAAAAAAAATTCAGGAGCTGTCAGGGAAAGGGTTTCGACACCTCCTATCGAGATGGGCTCGTTTCCCAGCCTGCAACTTGGACATTTTCAACAGTCCTCCGACGGGATGTCGAATTCTTGCCCGAATGTCGAACAAGAGAACGCACCAACGCTTGTCCTATCTTCACCCCAGTTTGTCTCTTTTGTGCATACGACTCGTGAGTTCTTCACTTGGACATGCGGTGTGGCGAAGAGGGGTTTTCTGTCGAAAGAGGGAATGTCAAAAATCTCCTGACATATGTCGAATTTCGTGATGTTTCGACATTGGTGTGGCGAGGCCCTTACTCTCTGCCTACGGTTTACCGGGCAGTTCTCTTTTTTTCAAAGAAAAAGAATTTGGCCACCTGTCAGAGCGCTCCCACCGCATTACCCCTCATGGCATACTCACACGGCGACCCCAAATCCGCAAAATTTTGCGGATTTGGGAAGGGCCGATTTGAGGTTTTGGGCATGGTTCACGTCACACTGTCACACTGCTGTACCTTTTCAGATGGGACAAGGTCGCGGCCGTCTGGAGAAATGGGGATTTGGGGCCTCGCCACACTACTCCCGACTTGGCCATTTTCAGGAGTCCAGCATCGCCACACCGGCTCCCAAGTTCAAGCTGTCAGATTGAATTCGGGAGCTGTCAGAATGTGCCTTCCGAGAGCACTCCCGAAGTCACCGCCTGCAAAGCTTTTTTTTCGAGAGACCTCCTTCGTTCCTCCGAGTTTCATCCCAGATTCGGGAGCGGAGCCAGAAGGGACAAACGACTTCTGCCAGACTGCTTCACACTGATTGTGTCCATATGTGGCAAATGACATTTTCAGAATTTGAGCGCGGCCGGGTGGAGAGTGTAGTGTGGCGAAAGGCACTCCCGAGCGGGTTTTCGCTTCCAGGAGCACTCCCGAAAACTTTCCCAAGTCGGGTGTGGTGGGGCGAGGCCCTTGGTACTTGGCTGGTCACACGGCGCCATCCACAAATTGTGCAAGAACTTTTGTGAACGAATTTTTGCCAATTTTTGAACAAAATGCAAAACAAAAAAAGGCATTTGCGGTCACCTCCCCAAATTCCCTTGCCCCGCGAAATCCCTTGCCCCGCGGCTTCCCAGGCCGCTGACAAATGGGCACAGGAATAGTACATCTTGCGAATTTGGTAGTTCCGTGTGACCGGCCTTTCCCCTCTTTTTTTTGGAGTTTTGGGAATATAGGTCCCCGTGCGAGTATGTCCTCAGCCAAGGCCACCGTGTCCGTTCACCGACGGTGCGGGTAAGCTAAAATCACCCCACCCTCCTATCACTAGCTCGCAGTGGAAGTCTCCCCTCATGGTCCAGGGTTTACGACTGATATTTATAATTCATAGATCGTAGATACAGAAGAGTGCCCGCCCTACAGAACAGAACAGATGCTTTTCGAGTACAATCCAATCCAATCCAATCCAATCCAATCCAATCATTTACCAGGCAGCTCTGTTTGACGACATACATATCATTTCCCGGTTGATTTAAATTTCAAAATTTTCAAATTTTTTGAAAATTTGGGAAATGGAGAGGGAAGTCGCCCTCACATCCCTGGACTCGCTGCAGAGTGTTGAAAGACGGATTGTACGGACCGTGGAACTGGCCGGGATGGTGGCGGAGGAGCTTGGCAATCCCAATGGGCCAAGTGGGCCAAATGGGCCCAGACCGGATGCAGTGACGGCGTTGTGCAAGGAGTTTATGACGGAGATAAAGGAGACGCAGAAAATATTGAGGGAGCAAATCAAGGGCATGTGTGAATACCGGCCGTTCGAGAACTGTGATTATCAGTCGCGGATGGCGGCAGAGATCAGCTTAGAGAAACTGAAGTTAGTAGCAGAGAATCTGGAGGGAATGAACGAAACGGCGGGGCAATACCATTCGTTGAATCGGGACGATCTGATTGGATCGGCGGCATCATGATGGTCGGCGGGGGGGAATCGGCAGGTGCTGCGGATCCCCAATAGCATTCATTGCATCTGGATGCGTTGGGTGTGGCTGGATGGATCAGCATCGTGATGGTCGGCGGATCGGCAGCGAAACAGATATTGCCTTTTATTACTATGACTTGTTGTTAGAGAAATAAAATGATGTTTTTTTTTCTGTTTTTCCTTGTTTTTCCCCTTTTTTGTGTGTATTTTCTTTAGTAAAAGGCGAAAGCATAGTACGTCTACTGAGCTGCCATTGTTGAAAATAAGTAATGTGGAAGAGCTCTGCCAGAAGATGAAAAACAAAAACAAAAAAGGAGTGACAGCGGGCAAACTACTGCGCGCCAAAACGGTGGATTGTGGGCAGCGGCCGGGCAGCGGGCCGGAGAGGAGGAGAGGGTTGAACAGAGTGCACTACGGATTGGACGCGAACAGAGAGTCGCTACGGCACACAGAGAGAGAGAGAGAGAGAGAGAGAGAGAGAGAGAGAGAGAGAGAGAGAGAGAGAGAGAGAGAGAGAGAGAGTTC